GGCTAGCCCTGACTCTTATGACTTGGTGAACTTGGCGCCTTGAACTTGCTGAGGACACGGTGGGATGGACCTCCAACTGCCTCGACAAGCGAAAAGTCCCGACATGAACGTCTACTACGATCGCAAAGCTCCAGGGCACACCTCCCAGGTCATGTAGCGCAGCCGCAGATCAGGACAGCTCTAGCAGCTGCCACCAAATTCCCTCAGTGCGCAAGCAGATTAACATGATAAATGATATCTTGACCGAATCTTGAGTTGTGCGACACTCTAGGACACTCCAAACAAATGTTCACTAGTGTTCCTGAACACCGCTGCCACTCTGCGCACGGTCGCCAAACCAATACTTAAATGTCTACCTTGCAGTGCAGAACGTGTAGTTGCTGGGTCTTGGCACGCGCACTATGGTCTGAACCCAGTGGTACAGAGTGGCACTTTGGACAGGGGCGCCAGAGAGATGGAGCTCGTGCGCTACACTGGGGCCGTGTCGTGCGGCTTTGCTCTGCCAGCCCTGGATTGTAGACGGTGACCAACTTAGCAAGGCCATCGGCTGCATGACTCAACAGAAGTGTTTGTTGTGGCTTCTCTTCTTCCATGCTCCCATGACGCCTGAGGTCCAAGCAGATCCATCCGCTTGCGAGGACCCTCGAGTGTACCATCCACATGCGTCAGAGTCTTGCAGCACAGAGTCATCCGAGCAAAAATGGCACTTGGCAGGGCCAGCTGCTGGGGCGTAAGCCACCTGGTTCGCACCATCGAGATCTCCGGTCAGCCGAACCTCGAGTCAATACACACGGCAGCTGGCTGAGAAACCGATCAAAACATAGCTGAATATTGGTGCATTGAAGAATGTTGAAGACAATGCACCTTGTTGTGAGTGATGCTGGCCTCGCCGATCCACATTCGCGCGGTGGCCTGCTGAAGCCAAATCAACTCCCTGAGCGATGCAGCAATACTGGAATTTCGAATGTAAAACTAAAATGGATAATGCCATACAATAATGTGATACAATGTGATATAATGTGATATAATGTAATATAATGTAATACTGTAAAACACTGCTATGTAATGCAAAAAATGCAATACATACAATCTAATACAATGCCAAGTAGTGCGAAATCATGTAATATACTGCAAAATAGTGCAAAAAATGCAGAAGTTACACAATGTAGTATAATGCCAAATGATGCAACATAGAGTAACACAACGTAATACACTGTAATATTATGCACTATACTTCAATACAACGAAATATACTTAAATTATAATGAAAAATAATGAAATATAATGAAATATATTGAAATATCATGGAAAGTAATGAAAAATATAATGTAATATAATGCAAAATCATGTCATGCAACTTAGTACGAAAAACATGAAATAGAATATGAGAACATCTGCTCTCACGAGAAGATCCAGGGTCTTCCTAGCTGGACAGGCTGAGTCCCGACAAGGCCTCCACAGATGGGAGCCAGTTGACTTCCGAGAAGAACTGTGGAAAGGCGGCGTCGACGTTGGTGGGATTGCACCTCAAAGTTTACGGTTTAGGGTAGGGTCCCTTGGTCGATCCAGCATCCCAGATCTCAAAACCATCTCACATCAATACGCGCAACAGGCGGGACCATCCGAACAATCCAAGCAACATGTCTTGTGACGAGCACCAGATGCTGGTGCCCAAGGCCTTATTTCCAAATTCTGTTTCAGTATGTTCCCACCAGAATACAATATATTTCTGTAGCGAAATATATTCGAATCAAAATAGATTCGGAATCTCAATCAATGTATGTGTTGCCAATGGAATATAAAAAGGATTGACAAGACGCTCGGCACACACTCTTTTTAAAAGTCTGGCGAAAGCCGTCGCTCGGGGAATTCCGAGAAGTCGAGACGAAGTGAGATGGTCCCCCCGAGCATCCATGATGCTCCGCATGATGTACAGAAGTACATCATGCACAGTGCATTCGCAATGCACACATCGGATAGTCAGCGATTGACTCATCCCCACGGAACCAATGCAGACTTTGCGATGCTCAGCGCATCCACTTCGAATCGCCGACCAAGGCTTTCATCTGAAATTCCACGAGAAGGGTCATCTGCGATGTTAGACGCGGTATTGACTCTTTCGAACCATGGTATGCAGCACACTGCATCGATGGCATCGTGGGTGGCATCCACAATGTGCATCCCGACAGAGTTGTCGGATGCCCCTTTGATCATGCAGGCACGAGTGCCTTCATTGTCCGAGAAGACGACGAGGTTGCATCCTTTAAGGAGTCCTCTCCAAACGTGTATGCACATAAGTACGGCCAAACATTCGCATTCGAAGATGGGGTTCTTGCTCTCGGGACCAACAAGAAGTCGCAGCTCAGAAGAAGCCCACTCGCTGAAGTGTCCAACTTTCGTCCCATTGTCCGATATGAGAACTCCACCGAGACCGATGCGATCGTTGTCGCAAGAGGCATCCACATACACATGCCAAAGATGCAAGACGTTGGCACTCAGAGCCCTCGGGGGCCCTTCAAGAAACCTGTCCCTCAGGAACAAAAGTGCAGCCCTCAAGTTGTCTCCGACGTTGGGGCTTCGCTCTGCAAGATGTTTGGACAGGGTCTTGAATGCGATGCCAGCTTTCTTTCCCGCGATCTGGTTGGCAGCGAATTGTAGGCGGCCCCTCAGCTTCTCGCAGTCCTTCCTAGCCAGAGTCCCTCTCTCAATGACTGAAGAAAGACTCTCTCTCAGCTCCTCTCGTCGAGCCGCCGTGTTTCTCATGTAGAAGCTGCCGAGGTGGGATTCACGCAGATCAAATTCCAAGTCTAAGACCTTTGCCACGCTTCCGAAGGTGGTAGGTTTGTCTGGAGACGTGTCCCAGCCAAGGATTTGGAAAAGCGATTCCGCGCAAAGGTCGAAGAGCCGTGTGAGCGGTGGGACTTCGTTGCCGACAAAGTCGTCGTAATACACCGACCACATCAAGGCCAGCTGAATTGCTCCTATCGCCCAGATGCCCAGCGAAGTTCTGCAGAACGAGTGGACCGACGCGCGAGCGCCGAAGGGCAGCACGCACTGCTCGTAGATCTCTGCCTTCCCCGACCGGGGGTTGTACACTGAAAGATAAGCTTCTTCCACTGCCGAAGTGCTCAAGGGAAGATTCTTATAAGCTTTGTGAAGGTCATAAGATTTCATCTCTAGCCCACCGTGTCGTCGGCATTTTGGGTCGCGCTTAAGGCGGTATGCAATAGAAGCGGCGATCGCATCCGCCGTGTGAACAGTCACCGAGTCCTCGGCCGAAGTCGTCGAGTTGACCCCAGACGCCTTGAAGTCATCTATAGGTCTACACTTGCCGTTCTGCCAGACGCCGAAGCGGCGCGAGAGAACAGCATTGGGACCCAGCGACGCGGGGTCGATGGGCCCTCGTAACCACCCCTTGGCGACCTCCTTGTCAGTGGCCACCATGAGAGCCTCGTCAAGTTCTGCGTCACCGGAGCTTTTGGTAGCAAGAAGAGTTGCCTCTCTCATCACAGCCGCGGAACTCCGTAGGTCTGAGACAGATAGCGAAGCGGTCGACAACTTGGGGCGATAGGCAGGGTTCCTCGGGATAGCACCGCTGAGGTCAAAACCTTTGGCGATGTCGTTCGCAATCTCCAGATCTTCGTGGCCACACTCCTCGAGCATGGTCCTGAAGAGGACTAGCCGCTTCCGGCCCAGGACCCGCTTGCAGTGTTGCGGCATAGTGTCACGCAGCTCCTCTTCCTCGGCTTCCAACTCACGGGCCTTGCTGATCCAATGCCGGAGCTTCTCGGTGCGTTGGGCCCCTATCTCGTAGAGAGACATGTCAGCAAGGCGATCGATGGTCGCTTTGGAGTGTGAAGGCACGCCGTCCAAGAGGTGACGGGGGTGCCCAGCTTTCAGCGCTTGCTCGATGAACTCCTGAGGTTTCCAAGGAACGCCCACGGCTACCTTGTGCATTCGGTCAACTCCTTGCATGTTACGGGACGGGACCCCAGGCAGTGGCCTAGCCGAAGAGTTGGGACCTAAACCAGATTTAAGGGTGGCTGCCGCGGGACCGGCCGTAGGGCAGCACACCGGGGGGCATCCAGGGAGGTTGAAACCAAGGTCAGTAAGCCGTGTCTTCTGATCGTCAAGAAGCTTGTGGTGGTCGCGTATGGCATAAGCAACAAGCGTGACCCTTGGGCCCCCACTCCATGGAGCTTGACAATGTCTACCACTTGGATCAAAAATTATCCTTCGGCTCTCAAAGTCAAGAACGATTCCCAGGAGCTCGGGGTGGCCTGGATCAGGGCAAGCAACAGAGCCGCGAGGAGATTCGATCCACAGTCCCCCTTGCTCAAAGGAGGAGATTTTCAAAACCGCGTTCGGCAGTCCCGGCTCATTATTTCTATCTTATTTCCGAAGCACCGTGAAAACTTCAAAGGAATATGTGAAAGTTGAATATCAAAAAGTATGAATTCAACAATCCACTATTTCCAATATAAGAAGTAAACATGAAGACTCTCTGCAATCGGACTCATCTTTTCGCAGCTGGGGCAAGGTGCTGGCAGTCTGAGTCATAGGCTCAGGGATAGGCCCACTCTCCCCCGACTTGGTGGGCACTTGCCCAAGGGTGGGAGGGCGGGACAAAAATTTTCCTGCTCGAAAAGCTTGAGGATGCATGCACGGCAACAAAGACATCGTACAACACCTCAGGCTATGATCGTCATGCACTCAAAAAGAAGAGTCATGCCGAACAGCAGGAAAAATTTCAAAAGTAAAAGTTTTCACTAATTTCGTTCAAACGAAATTTGCTTTTGGAAATAAAGGTTTCATCCTTGTTAGAGGAGTTCGACCTTATTTCCGAAGCACCGTGAAAACTTCAAAGGAATATGTGAAAGTTGAATATCAAAAAGTATGAATTCAACAATCCACTCTTTCCAATATAAAAAGTAAACATGAAGACTCTCTGCAATCGGACTCATCTTTTCGCAGCTGGGGCAAGGTGCTGGCAGTCTGAGTCACCCCAATGGAAAACACTGCCGTGCCACCGCATCCCAGTCGACGCGAAGCCTTGAGCATCCAATGTTCAAGAGACCTTCGTACTCACCTCTGCTCGGGGAGTCTGCAATGTTGCTATGCGTAGGTACACGGGCGTACCATGCGTGGATTTGAAGGGAAGTTTCCTTCGAGAGGATGCCATCGATAATCACACGAGCGAGATCGGCGCCTCCTCCCGCGGCTATTATCGAATGGCGAGCACCTTCATTATCCAAGTAAAAAACGGCTTGAGAAAATCTGCACCACTGGCCCCAGAGCCTATAGGCAACTAGGACCGGCAGAAGTTCAAGTTCGAAAATGGGATTCTGCGAGTTGCTCAACAAGATCTTCATGATATCCTGTGGGACTTGCTCACTGAAGAAGGATATCGGATGGCCACTCAAGCCCACGATCACTCCTCCAATGGATCCTAGCTTCTTCTCGCCTTCGCAGGCTCCATCTGTGAAGATAAGCCAAGAGTGATGGTTTTTGGTAGCGATGGTCACAGGCTCAGCCACCCTCAGCCTCTCGCGAATGACAACGAGGCTCTTTCTAACATCCTCGGGCAGCCTCTTCGAGGTGAGTCCCGCCCTGGCCGCTCGATCCACAGTTCGGATGGCCGAATTCGACATTCGCCCGAAAACAAACCCCTCGAAAAACACCAACCTGCCGCGGAGCCTTTCAGCGGTCTTAAGGTCGAGACAATTGGCTTGCAAGATGTCTTCGATGAACACGTTCAGTTCTTCGCGACGCTCGGCAGTGTTGCCGATTCGCACAATCCCCCGAGGTGCATCATTCAAATCGACTCTGACTCCAAGCAGTTTAAAGTCTCGTGAGAACGGTGGTGCCTTTTTGCCCTCCCGAGCAAATTCAACTCCAAGAAGATCGAAAATGGCACATATGCAAGAGTCTGTGTTGGCAACAAGCTCATCGCGAGTCGTGACTCCGTAGTCATCGAAAAATGCGGTCCAGAAGATACTGAACAGCCTCACTCCTATCAGCCAGATTCTCAACGAGATACGGAGGAAAGCAGCAACACTTCCCACCGCACCGAACGGTAAGGAGTTTGCTCCCATAATCATGGGCTCCGCCTCTTCTGGTTTGTTAACTGCAAATCTGAAAAGCTCCCTGTCTGTAGGATGGATTCCAAACTGTTTGTACGCACTCTTAAGGTCGTATACACGACCTTTGCAGGCAGGCAGTCTGCCCTCATTGATGCGTAGCGCCTTGGAGATCCACGCAGCATATCTATCAATGGAATGCATTTGGAAACCATACTTCAAGCCAACGGTAGCGTTGATGCCACAAATGCTGGCATCGTCTATGACACGCACTTTGTCAAGCTGTCTGATTCCAAATCTGCGGGCCAGAGCGCAAAGCTCTATGCAACTTTTTGTGTCAGCAAAAATCCAACCCTTTTGCAGTTCCTTCTCAGTTTCCTGCCAAGTTGCCTTTTCCAAGTCTTCATCCTGCCGGACACGCATTTTCGCAATCGTCGACTGATTCAGACCTTTTGCTAAGCAACTAAGTGTGGAAACCGAAAAGGAGGGTGGCCTAACCTTCGGAGGGAAAAGCCCTCCCTGCGATAACCAACCAGACAACTTAAATCCATCACACATGTGGGTGATTAGCTGGTCATCTGGAGATCCAGCTGCTTCGTGCATTTCCTGCCACAAGAGCAACCGTTTGCCCTCCAGCAGAAAACGAAGGTGCTCCGGCAAACTCCGGTGTAACTCCTCCTCTTTCTGCTCTAATTGCTTGGCTCGTGCAGTCCAATGTTTAAGAGCAGCAGCACGAGAGGTGACAGTTTGCGCCGGCGGGTCGCTGAAGTTCGCTTTGATTGCATTTACGACAAGCTTCGAGACATGTGCACTTCCGTCCCTAGGGTGGCCGGCTTGCACTGCTCTTTGCACGAAGGCTTCGGGTTCGGAAGGCAGGCCAATTCTAATCAACTCACCTTCAAGCAGTTCTGATTTGCCATCTGCAATGGAAACTTCACCGGAGGATATGCTCAAGGTCTTACAAGCCTCTTCGTAGCCCCCATCAAAGGTCAGGCGAGACAAGACCCGAGCTCCTTTAGGCAGTCCAGCAAGTAAAGATTCATCGGCCGACGGCGGGTCAGCAGGCACAGCCACGAACTTGAAGGATACAAACTCTTGCACTAAAGCAGGGTTGCGTCGGCCGCGCGGCAAGGCGTTCAACGCCAACCTGCCATCGAAGGTGGAATCGGACTCTCGAGTTTGAGAAACCGTGCCAAACTCACGAACTCCTGACTGGAGAAGGGCAGCTTTGGCTTTGGCGATGACACGTTGACAGAAAAGACTGGGCAAACCTGGAGGCGGATCGCCAGTCTTTCGCGGCACCCACGGTGCGTGTGAATGCAAGCCCGAGCACTTGAGGGCCAAGGCTGACCAATCCCCTTGTGCAGTGGCCATTTGGTAAGGCCGAGGGCGGCCGTCACCATGACAACACAGGTCACATCGGTGCAACTGCAAAGGGAAACTTTGAATCAGCTGAAGGACGAATGGATCATCCCAAAATTGCGATTTTGGAGAACCCGCTATGACAAAGGGAATTTCAAGACTGGCGGCAAGCTCACCCAAGGCGCAAAGATTTGCAGCCCAAGAGGAGCACGGTTGAGACGGCAGCTCGCACCAGACAAGAGCGAGTCGCTTTTTCTCGGCCTCGACAAGTTTTTGGAAGCTCTCCAAGTCGTTGCCCAAGTCAAGTGGTAGACACCTGACCCCATGCACGAAAGATGGGGGCGCACTGCACAGTATATGTCGCAGGCCTGCAGCTCTGGCAGCACGATGCAGATCGGCAGTGCGACCATTTACTTCAAGGAAAATGTAGTCCCCGACATGGCCTACATTTGCCTGAGAATCGGCATTCACCGGGCTTCTGGACCTCTCCTGAAGATCACGCTTGATCGGCGTCCGCACGTGCGGAGCGACGGGCCTATTTGGGCTAGAACCACACCCTATTCCAGGCAGCTTGGCGGGCACTTCGGGGGTAGAGCTGGTCTCAGCACTTGAAGTGGCAGCGCTAGCAACACCCGAAGAGGGGGAACTAAACCCAAGGGTCCTATGGGGGGAAGGCGCGGGTTGCGATGGGCACTGAAAGCCGATGTCAATCAGCCTCTGGCGATCGTCACACGGCAGTCTTTGGAAGTCCCTGACGTTGTATCCTACCAGCACTAGTCGTCGCCCCGTCCAGGGGAGTGTAGCATGATACAAGTTCCTCGCATCCAAAGTGATTTTGTTGTTTTCCCAAGACAACTCATGACCCTTCAAGACGCGTCCCTTTGGATCAGTCACCTCAATGTCACCATCACCTTCTACCCAAACGGCCCCGCCCTGAAACTCGGACAACTTCAGCAGGATGTTGCAGTGGGAGTCGTCGTTGTTGGAATCGCGATGTACCTCGGCGGAACAGTCATCTAGAATAATAAAGCTTGTAAAGCACTCGCCCGGAGCCAAACTCCGGATTTGCGCCGCAAAGACAGCGCACACATTTGGAAAAAGCTTGGTATTTGAGTGAAGGCCATACAGACCCCCTTTTGCATACGCCCCGGCAGCGAAGGAGCGTCCAACACTCCCCCGTGGAGGGCTTTGCATCGGCAGCAGCTCAATCAGCTGCGACAGCGAAGATTTATCGAAAGGAGCAGGCATTTGCAAAATTGACGCGGCAAGAGACTCCACATCACTCGAGGCTCGCGAAGCTTCACTCGAGGCAGCGGGAGTCTCCTCAACCTGTCACGAGCCTCCTTTCCGGCAGTTTGGAAAGCTGTGGCCAGGCTTGTGGCATCCGGCGCAAACATGGTATCCCTTTGCACACTTTGTTCCATGGGCATCCTTCTTGGTTTCAAGCGAACACCCCTCGGCAAGGTTAAAATAAAAGCCCAACAAATGGGCCCGGCCTTGATCTTGGTGACACATCCCTTCAAAGACTCCGGTACAAGGCCGGTAAGACGCTTGCGCTTCTTCTTCTTGGTAGCCTTCTCAGCCAAAGCTGCGGCAGCAGCCGAGTCGGTAGGGATGGAAGGCGGTGGAGCGACTTTCTGCGGCTGCGGTGCCGTAACAAGATGAACGACTACGCGAGGGTCTTTGGCCAACCGCCTCAAAGCAGCCGCCATCACCAGCTCGCCAGCCGCATCCTTCACCCCAATTGGTCCCTCGATCTCACGGCTCATCAGTGTCCAAGCCTCCCGGTCTGCCCGAATGACCTGGGCGATCGCGGGCCTGGCTCCTGACACCGGCTCTCCATGAAGATAGGACATAAGGCTCTGTACGTACCACTCATGGTCCGACCAGCCGATGAGGCTGCACTGATCTAATGCCAACCCTCGCCTCTGGAAGCAATACAGAAGCTGCAAGGCAGTGGTTGTATCAGCATCAGGCAACTTGCTGCTCGAACTGACCTTCAAGGTGCCTGCCTCAATTTGTCCCAACGAGGTTTTCTCTTTCCCTAGCTGTTGCACCTCAGCATCACGCTTAGTGCAACGCGAGGGGCTGATCCAAGTAATGCTGTTCGACTCTGACATCAGGGCACAAGCATCTACCAGCGCGTAGCTGGGCTGCAGCTCTCCCTCTATCAGCAGCCCGGGAAGTCGGGCCTTCTGCGAAGTCAAACGCGCTTGCTTTTCAACATGCGGCAGCTTGCGACCTGCAAGATCGGAATCATCCGCCGTCGCCTGTGCTCGCAACTGTGCCACTACAAGTGTAGAGGCCTCGAAGATAAGCATGCGAACATTTGCAATTTGTCCGATCGTAGGCTGAGTACCCTCGGCACACTTGTAAACCTTAGCCGCAAGGTCCTTCAGAGAATCATCGGACGGTGGAGTTTGTGGGCTCCCCAGTGCAAATGCCAACTGACGCAGCGTCTTCACTCCATTGTCCTTTAGAGACTCGAAAAGGGAGTCATCCCCCTCCACGGGCAGGCACCTTTGTTTGAGCGAAGCCTCACTGTCAATTAAAGCCATCGCGCGGAGAAACTGAGCAGATACCACAAACAAAAAGTGCAATGCCCTCATGTGATAATCAGACTGCTAGTGCCTACCAACATGAGATCACAAAAGCTTCAAGTTGAACCGCAAGCACGCCCACGACAACTCACCAAGTGAATTCCCTCGGCGCCCTCAGCTCAAACGAAGCAGTACAGCTCACTAGACAGAGAACCGATTTTCTCAGTTGCCAGCAGCTGCCGACCTCATACACTGGCTACACACTCCCGTATCATACCTCATTAGGCCCGGGGCAACATATGCTTGGCAGAGCGGCCTTCCACACATCAGTCGCCGCACTTTTCCATCCTTTTTCAAGTGACAGATCCTGGACTTTGCATGCCTGACGAAACTGGTTCCCTCAGGTGCTGAAGGAGGGTGCAACAGCCGCGGCGGTCTGGGGCCCGCTCCACTCCCATCGCTCTCTGAAGAACTAGAGGCCCCTTCTGCCGAAGAGTCAGGATCTTCATTAGCGGCATCCCGTGCCCCTTCATCGTCCAATCCTGCCAAGGAGTCGCCAATGCCCCCAGACAAAGAAAGTCGCTCCTCGGGGTCGTCGTGGTCGAAGCCCAATCCTTCGACGAGACTATGTAAGCCATCTGCTTGAGGTTGCATGTCTTCAGGCAGCGAGATTTCCAGATCGCGATTCCTCCCCTCACTCGAGGGAGGCAAATCCCTCACCTGGTCCCACCAAGCCTGCTCAAGCTCTTCTGCAGATGTAAACCTCCCCGAACGGGTGTTGTCGGGATGGAAGCGGCCATCCCTCACCCACTGCAGCATCCGGCCTAGCTCAAAAAGCGGACCTGCGGCCGCGTCTCGGCTGTAGCGGAAAACAGTCTTGCTGGTCCCCACGTGATATCCCAGACACGCCCTGACATCTTGGGATGCTCCGAATTTCGCCATCCAAGAAAGCAACGTGCACTTCGCAGAATGGCTGGACAGCTTTCTGTCGGCCTCCGCCGCGCCCGGAAGGAGTTTCCTGATCCAAGCTGTCATCTCACCTGACGAGAGCGGACGCACCGTCGGCCGTCCCGTAACATCAGGCGCGGGCATAACTGGCCATCCACCTGTGCAAGGCTTGAAACCCACGGCCTCGCACCGGCAAAGCCAACGTTCAACCCATTGGTTCGATGTGACCCCAACGCACGGCCCGGTCATAGTCAAGAACTGGTGTCGATGTTGCCTCGACTGCATTGACTTGTGATGCCCGGTGATCAGATCGATGTAACACAATCGACCCACGGCATCGCGGTCCAATTGTAAGTCCTCACAGCACTGCAAATCAGCCCATCGTGACCTCAAGTAAATGGCGGTCAACACTGCTCCAGCAAAGACTGCATCCCAGTCGTCAGAAGCCTGGTGTACTATCCCATGCAACTCCAAAACTTCCTCTAAGGAGAAAGGCGAAGCTTGGTTGACCCGCGCACGCGGCTCAACATAGCACACTCCTTGGCACCTTCTGCTAAAAACCAGCTCCTCGCACTCTTCAATGTTCAAGACGAAGTAGCAAAAGTTCAAA